GCGGAGGCCCGTCTAGCTACGCTGAATGTATGTGGAGCAATGAACGATAAGATGGATGAAGTATGCGATATGATGTATGATAGAGGAATAGATGTGTTATGTGTAAATGAGACGAAGCGGAAGGGAAAGGATGTCACTACACATGGCATATATACCGCTTACTGGTCCGGTGTAGACGAGACCGAGCGAGCATGCCAGGGAGTCGGTATCATCCTTTCAGAAAGAATGGGTCAATGTGTGAAAGAGTATGAATGTGTAAGCCCGAGACTGCTATGGATACGAATAAAAGTGGGCCTAAAGAAGTTGTTTGTTCTAGGGGTCTACGCCCCAGACATGTCTAAGCCCACTTGTATACGAGAGCAGTTTTGGGAGATGGTAAGGATGGTGTTAATGAAATGTAACGAAAATGAAAATATTGTTATGTTAGGAGATTTTAATGGAAGGGTTGGGGTGAGGAGGCTTGGGTATGAAAGGATACTGGGAACGTTTGCTGATGAAAGTATTAATGAGAATGGTGAAAGCCTCCTCACCGTATGTGTGGAAAGGAATCTTTTTGTGACGAACACTTTCTTTCGTCATAAGAAGATTCACATGTATACTTGTAAAAGAGGTGATGATAGAAGCATGATAGATTTCATAACTGTGGATGAAAGAATGAGGAGCGCAGTGGTGGATACAAGGGTTAACGGGGGGTTCAACGTAGGGACGGACCACTACCTGGTCTTATGCCGAATTAGGGGTTTATTCAGACGTTGGCGGCATCGGACATCTGTGTCTACCACTGCGTTACAGCGTATAAGAATTGAGAGGTTACAAGATGAAGATGTGAAAGACAAGTACAAATGCAGACTGAGAGAAAATATAAGGATGAGTTGTGTGTGAATGAGTTAGACTTGGAGAATGTGTGGCATAATGTTAAGAAAGGTTTAGTGGAAACAGCTACCGAAGTATGTGGTGTTAGTAAGAGAACGAATGAAAGGAAAGACAATACGTTATGGTGGGATGGTGAGGTACGTATGGAAGTTGAAGCAAAGAAGAGAGCATGGCTAGATTTACTAGCGACCAAAGCTGGTAATTCTGGCGGTAAGAATGATGAGAATGAAAGAAAAAAGGCAGAGTTTAAACGTTTAAATAAGAGAGTAAAAGAATTAGTTGAAAGGAAAAAGCAAGAAAGAACGTATAGGAATGATAGAAGAATATCGGATAACTTCCAGGCAAATATTAAAATGTTCTGGAAACTCGTAAGAAATACCAGGGGACTTTCAAAACAGCCTAGATTGAATGCGATACGAGACGAAAGTGGCTGTATTCTGAATGATGAAGTGTTGAGTCTAAAGAGATGGAAGGAATATTTTGAAAGCGTATTTATGAGTGAGGAGAAGTGTGAACTAAATGAAATAGAAATTCCGAAAGAAGATGGTCTCCCTATCTACGCGTGCGAATGATACGCACGCCCGCCCCCCTTGCTTGCTACCCCATGATACCTAATTTTCGACTTATGCGCAATAACAGTCACCGCTCGACTTTCGTGCCGTTACAGATACTTTTATTTGAAATTATCCCAAATGAAATGAGATTTATGGGCAACAAAGTTTTTGCCTACCGATCGACTCTTACGAATGTTTGCGTGCGCCGTAAAATCAGTAAAAATAATGCATTACCCACGCATTTTGAATTTAAAAGACAAAGATGACAAAATGGTTGAGATTTTATTTAATTAATTTTTCTTCACCATTTGCCTATATTACTTATTCTGAACCTTCTCTGCAAATTTGGCCGGTTATTGTAAAATAACCCTGTATATTTTATTGTACACAAACTGTAGTGTCTTGTAGCTTTCTGTAGCGTCATGCTTACACATGTGAACACAGGCTGTGCGATGTCTTCTAAAATGACTGACAGTGTTACACATTGCATTTCATTAGTACCACAACTTATATATAAACTATCTCCTCTGTAACTTGTCTGATTTCGATGAAACTTAGCACAGATAATCTACACAACTCTTGACATTTTCATAATATAAATGTGTGTGTAAATTAAAACACAAGCCCCTAATGGTGATAGCATAACGCTTGGTATGTTGATGAATGTGAGACTTGTGTATCGGCTACTGGTAAAATATGACTATTAAAATAAATAACTAAACAAATAAATTATACAATAATTATAATGAACAACTCTGACACATTTTTGATTGCACCACAGGCATACCTAGTTAGTTATAACAGCAATAATTTAAAAGTTCCTTGTTCCAAAATAAGATGCATATGTAAGAAGCAGAAACATGCAAAAGAAATAATAATATGCATGCATATAACACAAATTTAATATTAATAATATAATATAGAGATATTCTTGTACTACAAGCCATCTAAGATTATTAATATTATGATACATTTTGTAAGGACCGTGATTAGATTAATATAATATTTTATTACAATCAAACTGATTATAAACAACAGTAAAGGTAAGAAGGACCATGTCTTTAAGAGGCTCGAATTGAAAATATTGTTGCAAGCCATAATTGATGCCCCTAGCGCCATCTAGTGTCGAGGAGCAGAGCGAGGAGAGCTTTCTAGAAATTGCCATGCCTGAACTTTCCACCAACAGCGCCATCTAGTATCGAATAGAAGAGTTAAACTTTCTAGAAAAGTCCACACTCGAATTTTCTACATCTAGTCGGTCGGGACCGGTATTTGCTGTAACATTCTAGATGTTTCGGTGGAAAAGGCTTATATAAAGCTGTTCAAGGCCGCGACCGGGGCAGTATTGAATTGGCGATACGAGTGAAGCTTTCGGAGCGAAATAAAGTGAACTAAAGTGTTAAGTGTGATTAATTATTAGAGTGGTTTAAGTTTTAATTGGTGTTCAGTAAGTGTCAATTTTGGTAATTCAATCGGCAGTTTTTACTGTCACGAACCCTAAGTTCGTAACAATATATCCACCAAATAACATCAAATAATTCACCAAACGTCGTGAGCGGCATTAATATTAGATTTGTTCTGAACACATCAACGGAGTTCGCCAAGTTAACTTTCTACAATCGTTAACGCTAATAGAAAACTAGAAGTTAAGTTTCAACCTACTAAGAACCACTCCTGGACAGAGGCCTCCTTTCATTTCTAAAAGGGATTTAGGGCCAGGAAAAGGCGTTGGTGGACTTCACATGTCCTCGAAATATTTTGTTTATTTTTAAAACGTGCAACTTTACTCACCATGTTTTCCTTCGCCATAGAGAACATAGTAAATCAGCACATAAAATTGAAATTATCAATTTCATTGGTGCCAGCGGGTTACCCGGAATACTCATGTAAAAGTAAAGTAAAAATAAAGTTACAGCCTATATACATCCCACGGCTGGGCACAGGCCTCCCTTCATTTCTGAGAGGGTTTTAGGGCAAGGAAGTGTACGCCGCGCTGGCCCTATTCGTGTTGGCGAACTTCACATGCCTTCGAAATATTTTTTTTCTTATTCCTCAGACATGCAAGTTTCCTAACGATGTTTCCTTCACCGCCGAGCACGTGGTAAATCAGCACTTAAAATTGCAATTAACAATTTCATTGGTGCCGGCGGGGATCGAACCCGGGTTACTCGCGTTCTGTTATATTTACAGCGATCGTTAACCATCTACGATCGCTGTGCTGTAATACTCATGTACTGTGATATTTACACCGAGCGCTTAGCCCCTGATCTTTTTTTCTATAAGTGTTTAACTTTTATATTTTTCTATAAGTGTTGACGATTGTAGAAAAAGTATAACTAAGAAAGTACCAAAATAACAAAAGTATATATATATATATATATATATATATATATATATATATATATATATATATATATATTAAAAGAATTTAATAATACCACATTTTTTACATCAGACAAACAGATATGGTAATAAAACATAGAAATGACAAGAGCAATTAATAAGAACAATGATCAAGATAAATTGTTCACAAACTCAAGTTGAACATCAGTTAAATTAATTTTGACAAATTTCATAATAATTTTGAAATTATTTTTCTAAATTAAATTTAAAAGTATTCTGTACAACCCAACAATATTTCAAAAAAAAAAGTAATAAATACCCACCATATTAAAAATATCCACGAAACTAATTTTATGTACTGGCTCAGTTACGCCTAATATGAAACTGGTCAAAATCAAAATTTCACTATGAATATTTATATATATATCAAGTATGAGAAAAACTTTGTTGCACACAAATGTAACAAGGCGGATTTAACGCCTTAAGGCGTTCTGTATCAGTCTAGCTATAAGTAAGCAGAGAACACTACTTTGGAGGTACAATATGATTTATAAGAGAAATAATTTTATTCATTTAAAAAATTCTTGATTTAAGAGATGCTACAATTCGAATAACCATTATTATAATTATTTGATCCTTCTTACCTCCACCCTCCATAATTAACGTCAAAGGTATGTTTAACAAAAACATCGCCTTATATCAACCACCTTTTTGTTAAATTTTGCAAAACAAACAACAAACCAATCAACATAACAAAAAAACATAAAATCAATCCAAACATCAACATTATGTATGCGCGCTGCATAAAAAAAGGATTGTATTTGACAACTTCACTCTCTTAACATCAATCTTCATGATCATGACATCGCATAAGCATAACGCCAATCTTAACAAAAAAGTTCCGACTTCAAAAAAGAAAAGTTCTCTTTTTACCGTGTATAGACCACAATTTTATAATCCTTACACACTGGGGTAATCTATATAATTATGGCCAGGTTATATTTTTTAAAGTATTCAGTTTAAAAGTTTTAGTTTCAAGACGGTAATTAAAAAAAATTAAGAAATTACTTTTCTTAAAAAAATTAGCCACAACATAAAATTCCTGTAAACAAAAAATAAATATTTGTCAAAAATATTTTCTTAGCTTTTTTTGCAAACCCTACACGGAGCGAAGTGTCAGTTAACAGTCCTATTCCCATATGCGCACGTAGTGCATCTGCTGCGACTTACCATAGCGTCGACCCTGGGGAAAGGCAGAAGACAGATAAGCAGGACCGTCATGTTGTCACAGCCGAGGCCACCCGTGGCACAGTTCGGTGCGAGGCACCGCTGCATGAGGGCTTCGCACACTGCGGCCGGCTGCCAACCACTTAACAGTCGAGCACGGCAGAAGGAAATCACCTCCTACATTACGAAGCGTACCGTAAATAAGATTTTATTAAGCATGATTTTTGAAGTAAAAATTCTTTAGAACCGTTGTGATTTGAATCTCAATGAAACGAACCGACACTAAAAAGAGACAAATATATGCATCAATAGATAGAATACAAAAAAATGTAGACCGCAAACTCAAAAGTTTGTGTGTTCGAATCATTCAACAACTGTCTTTATTTTGTCTTTTTTAAAAAATAGTAGCAATAGTATTTTTTTAAATACAGTGTTTATTATTATATTGGTATCATCTTTGTGTCATGCTTTAAAGATGGTTAATATAATTTTTGAACAGTTAAAATAAATAATATAAAAAATTAACAAATTTAGTAAAAAAAATTAAATTAACCATATTAAATAAAATTATCTTAAAATACTAATCCATTTATAACAAACCAGAATTTCATAGCTTCAGGCCATCTAGCGTTTATTTTACATTCCACCTTGAGAGTCGATCCATTTTTATTCGATGAAATGACTTTACATACAGAACGAAGTAGATGGCACTATTACAAAGTAGTTTTAATCGATAAAAAATAAAAATATTCTTTTGATTTAATACGCCAAAATTTAGTCAAAAATAAGGATTGTAACATTTATTTGCCATAAAACTAAACTTTTATCCTATATTTTATGCCACACTTGTGGATGAAAATGTTCATAACATTAAATAAGTCATTTGCCGTGAAATATTTTCATTTTATATTTAATTTTATTTTAAGGTTTCACTTCTACCGCGTGTGAACTGTAAATATGTTTTTTTTTTTTATCGTATTCTATTTTGAAAAACAAAATCACATTCTACGGTACAAAGCGTACTGCAATTTTTTTAAACATTCAAACAATTTGGTGTAAAGAACTGCGGAATGAGATCTTCGCACACTGCGGCCAGCTGCCAGCCACTTAGCAGTTGTGTACAGCAGAAGTTTATAAGAAGTTTATAAAGCGTACCGTAAATTAGATTTTTTAAATATGATTTTTTGTTCGTCAACGATCGACTTCAGAAATTTAAATACTACCACACAGGAAAAAATCCTACTGAGAGGTAAAGCTTACCAAAAAAACTAATAAAAAAGCAAGTTAGGAGCATATAATCCAATCAAACGGCAGGGAATTGCTGTTCCACGCCGTGGTCATCAAAGTAAATCCTCTTACTGGGAGACTTATATCTACTAGTGAACTTTTACCGAGCTGATGATGAAGGAAAATTAAAATGATATCTTATATTTACGTGGGTTTGAACCTGTTAGCATAGTTAACGAAGACTACCTTCAACACTAATTTTAACGAAGGATTTAAGAAGTTCAAATCAAACGCGATAAAATCCGTAAAATAAATTTTATTAAAGAAGTCTTTAAGCATCTATTTAAATTAATATCTTTAAAGTTTAATCTTATATTTATTGCGCGGTGGTGGCATCGAGGCTAAATGCTCGCCGTATATTTCACAGTATTCGAAAAAAAACACTGAAATGGCAAATTTAATTACTGATTTGCAATGTGATAGGCGTTGAAAAAAAGCCCAAGGAGGAAAACTGCACGTTAGAATATTTCTGGGAAATATCAATTCCGCCAAAACATACCTACTGCAGCGGGGCGGCCTTTTTACTCCATAACCGTCTATTGCACCACACTCACGGAACTAATAGTGTAGTAGATTAAATAACATGTTGATGTTTGACAAATGAAATTTTATTTTCTTGTGTCAAAAAATAAAGTTTTTGAATTCGTTTTCATTTCATTTTAATGAAGTATTAATGAATTATGGCGCCACCAATATAAACCTACCTCTGTTTCTTTTTAATGCAAATATTGTACGTATTTTAGTGTCCGAGCGTATTTGTTTCTAAGCAAGCCCTGCTTAGGAGTTTATCTTCGTTTTTGCCCAGTAATGTTTTAAGTTTTGTAATTATGTGTTACGAGGCATTTCATCATACTCTTATAGATTATTAGAGGGGATCAAAGCAGACTTGCTCAAAAATATAAATTTTATTATGTACTAAAACTTACTTCGTTGGATAAAACTTCCCAAATACCGTCGCACGCGATCACGATAAACTCCCAATCATCATTTATCTGCTTCACTTGGACATCGGGATAGGCTAAAACAAAATAAAACAAATATGATTGATATGAGACTTTCATCTTCTATCCTTTCGTATTCCTTCTCTCTTTCATTCTCTCTCTCTCCCTCTCCCCCCCTCTCCCAATCTCACTCAATCTCTCTCTCCTTCTCCCTCTCTCTCTCTTTTTACTCTCTCTTTCACTTTTTATCTCTCTGTCTCCCTATCTTATTTTCTCTTATATCTCTCTAAATATCACAGATAGCGTTCTAATGAAAATCTGTCCCAGCAGTGGACTGTTTATGGGTGAAAGAGATATAATTATACAAAATTAAATTTGGGACTAGCTGTTTCCGCGACACACATACCCTTCTCTTATCATCTCTGATCGATCATGGGGGTGTTTATTATTTTAGTGTCAATTTTGATCAGAAAGAATTTTTAGTAAACTGTTTTTATTACCAGTGACAATCTGCTCTTGTGGGGGAAGCCTATAGTTCCGCTTAAACACGTAGTCGCCTAACGCCCTGGATAAGGCAAGGTTTCCATTAACCCGGTTTAGCTGGACCCAACCTCCACCTGCTGTGATCCTTCGAAGCTCCTCCTCATTGTTAGGTTTGTGATCATATGATAACGCTTCTACCTGTAATATATAATAATATTTTTAAAAAATGGAAGAAATGTGTGGACCGTGAGAACAGCTCCAGTTTTATTCCTTTAAATTGCAAGAAGCAATGGAATTGTTTCTTGCAATTTAAATTTACCATGTGTTTGGCTGTGAAGGAAAACATATTAAGTAAACTGTCTTATTTTATAGAATAAGGTCGCAAACGAGCACACAGTACACCTGATGGTAAGTGGATGCTGTGGCCCATAAACATCTACATATATCCTCGATTAATAATCAAAACGCAGAAGCGTTGTCACCCCTGAGGACTAAGATGGAATTCTCCAGTTTCCTCGTTTGCAGTAAAAAAGGGTCTACGGATCTCTACACTCACCTTACGAAACACAGCAGCATTAAGCTGCTATTTTACGCTGGTATTATGTGAGAGCGTGGACTTTCACCAGTCGAGCCGACCCATTCGTGCTACAACCATAATATAGCTGCAGCGTGGCTCTGCCACGTATCTATCTGAAAAATTAAATATATATATATATACATATATATATATATATATATATATATATATATATATATATATATATATATAATATTCCAGCCAGATGGAGTAGATCCGGGAAGTTGGCGGAAAGGACATAAAACCGTTGATACTGTGTGCCTGATCTCTAATTTTTATTGCCATCTGTTCTTTCATACACACTGCCATCTGTGCGGGATAGAATTACTGGCCTGCGTGTGATTGTGTAGGCTAGTTTCGGTTGAAACCAGTCGCCGATACCAAAATTCAGTCTGTGGAATATTATTACTCTATTTTTTTAAATATTAGTAATCTTATTACCATTCCTGTTAAGCTTGAAAATGCTTGTGTTAGGAGTGGTTCACGACAGTAGTCAAATGGCGGATTCGAACCCACGACCTTTTGAGTTCGCGATCCGCGCCCTGCCATTAGGCTACTGACGCTTACTCTATTAATTACTATTATGCAGAGGATAACTTCAATATATTTAAAAGTGCTCAACACTATCGAAAATCATCTAAAAGAGGCTTTCATAATAAAACGAGACAAATACTGTTAAGCTACTTACTGCTCCTCTAACACTGGCAACGGCACGAGAATCACCAACATTAGCACAGTATAAGACATTGTCTTTGATAAGCACTACAACAGCTGTGCTACCAGCCACCTTTTCCTGCAGCATATCTTCCTCCAGCATCGCCTGATCGAGGTCGAGGAAACCCTGTAAAATATGTTTGGAACTAAATTATTCATAGATAATTAAGTTTCAAAGTAAATAAATAGAAAGTAACAGATCACACGAGTTCCATTTATGGACTCTGGTCTTGGTGTCCCGGCTGATGTATAGGCAACGACTTCCGTTTTCTGCAGAAAACTCTAATCTGTGCAGGAGATATCTCTTTAAGTGGCAGAGTAACGCCATACAAATAGGTTGATTGGAATGAGGAAGCATCATGCTTGCAAGTGGTTGCTCACAAATGCACCGCTGTCTTCCACGTAACGCCGCAAAACACGGTCTTTAGCCAGTGGCGAAGCTAAAGCTCCAAACTAGGGCAAGCCCAAGATATAAATTGATCAAAATATAGATTTTTGTTTTTAGCAGTTTTATAAAAATACACCAATCTTGACCTGTCTCCACTCTTCGTTTCATATTCAGTGCTGTCAACGACGTGTTAGAGTGTTAGTGTAGATAGATTGTATTACATATCAGCAATTGCATAGCTCTATGGTGGCTTTAGAAAAAAGCCGTTTGGGTTTGTTTGAGCGAAAGATAAAGATATTTACATACAATACAATACATGAACAAAAGTAAAACATGAACAAAGTACAAACAAACTATGTACAAAATTAAAAAAACAAATTATTTACATTCTAAATGGAATCGTCTCTCTTAAGTGAAGATTTCAAATCCTGGCAAAAGAAGCATTCCTAAATCCTGGCTTTAACTCTCTATACTAATTGCTATATATACAATCGTAGTTATATTTCACTATAGAATATTTTGCCATAGGTTAGAAAGAGAGCGATCGTCTTCTCGAAAGTCCCGTAAAAAGCCCACGCGAGCGAGAGAGACGACCTATTGCTCTATTAAAACTCATTTTTTATGACAGCAGCAGTATCGCTAAGGCAATACGAGGTAACCTGTGTCGAACAATGGAGTGCGCGGGAAATTTGAAATAGTTTACGAGTTATTTTATTAGTTGATATTATTGATTGATTCAGTTTGATAAGGCAAGCCCGGCTTTTCGGCTTCTATGGAGGCTTCGCCACTGTCTTTAGCCATCTGCATCAACCGACTTTCTGTATATCTTACTAGGTCGTTACTCCATCTACTAGAGTAGAGGTCGGACCTATACTTCGCTTACCGGTATAAGGCTGGCGTTGCCAATTACACAAAGAAAAGAATGTAATATTGAACCAGATTATACAGAAATTTTAATTAAATATAAAAAGAAATATTATGCACTTTGGAAAGAATATTTTGATAAAAGATCGTAAGAAAAAGGGATATGGCACAAAACTATCCAGAATCAATTTCCGAAAGTACCTTGGCTTAATCAACGTCTATTGAATTGAAAATGTGTTTTCGGAAACATTCCATTCAACAAGTTTGCTTTCATGATTGTAAAGAAACAATCACCAAATTGCGAAACAGAAGATATAGAAGATACGAAATAGAAGATATAGAACCCTTGCTCGCAGAATGTTCCAAAAACCATCACGAAAGGAAACTACTGGTCGCTAAAACTAACATTACAATGTGTAACATAGGTGAATATCAAAGCATTCTCTCTGAACCAATCTCAAATGCTGCTGAAATGGTGTATCATTTAATAAGTAATTTAATATTTTTTGTGTTATTTATTTATAAGGTACAATGGGACTGACATATTAAAAGTAACTAGTCCCTTAAATAAAAAATAATTTAAAAAAGGGTGCCGTTGAAGAACCCGTCTCCCTCATCGGTTGTCAGTTAAAAATACCCAAACCAGCGACGGGTATCAACGTCAAGTGTGCGAGATGTCTGTTAGCGCTATAGTCAATCCGCCTTCCAAGCCATGTCAGGAAGTGGGGATTATTATGCCAATGAAAAAGAAAAGTTGTAAACGATTATATACTTCTATTTTTACTACTATTTTTTTATCTTTTGATAAAATAAAATTTAGAAAAAAATCTCACATGTTTACAAATGAGACAAATACACATAAAAAAGTAAAAGTTCAATTGTACCACTATTACCACACAGTTATGACTTTTATCATTACAGCCTTTCACAAGTACACTGTTGAACATAGACCTCCCCCAAAGAATGCCATAAAGCTAGGTCTCGAGCCACCTGCATCCATCAGCTTCATGCAACAAGGTCTTGCCAGGTCGTCACTTCATCTAGTGGGGTACCGCCCTACATATCGCCCACCGGTACGAGGCTGCCACTTGAGAACCTTTCTTCTCCATCGTTTGTTGGTTCTTAGAGCCTTATGGCCGACCCATTGCCACTTCAGCGTACTAATCTGTTGGGCATAGTTAAATCACGAAATTTTAGAACTTCTCTTTATTAAAGAACTATAAGACATTAGATCCTTTAAGTGATCCAGTATAAGTGTATGTGTAATCCAATTTCGATCAATTATACCTGTTTTAGCGCCTCTTGAATGTTACCCAGGTGATACTCAGGTCGGTTTGTGATGAACTTGTGTAGATGTTTTCCTGCATACTCTGCTATGTTTGCCCCTGAAAATATATTGATGAATTTAAAATATACTACGAGTATAAGCGAGGAATTTCAGATTGTATAATAACTTTAAACCCTTGAATCTTGGGTTATACTTATTGGACTTCAAAACGACAATCTCGATCACCTTGTCAACAAGCCAAGTTTTAACGTGGTAGAGGCAAGCTGCAACTATACTATGGTTGTAGTATGAATTATAGGACTAGGACCACACTCTGACAGAATACCAGTGAAAAATAGTCGCTTAATGAAGGTGTGTTTCATATGATGAGTGTAGAGAACCAGAGAACATTTTTACTGAAAACAAGGCATAGCAACTTAGTCCTCAGGGGTGACAAGGCATCTGATTATTAATTGAGGATAAATTTAGATGTCTATAGACCACAGCATCCACTTACCATCAGGTAAACTGTGTGCTCATGACATAAAGATTAATTTAGTACATGAATAACGAAGAAATAACTATTGATTACTGATCACACACCTCCATGTCCATCATAAACACCGAAGAAAGCAGTACCAGGGTCGTCAGGTAACGACAATATGTGAGTATGAGAGTCATCCATAGATACACGCCATCCCTGCATGCATGATGATCCTACCAGGTATCTTGAATCCTGACATGTTGATGACTGCTTTTCTGTCACCGGCTCTGATAGGGTTTGCCCCATCACTCTGTGAAAAGTATATAACCTAAAGCTAGTTGTAACTTAAAGCGATCCGTTGAAGATTTGAGACATGTATTCCGATAATGTTTTAAGATTTGAGGCCTGTCTGTCTGATTTTTTTTTCAATATTAACCTTTATTAATAATTTTTAAAAATTTATTTAGTGGGTTACGAAACACAAAATTTCATGGCAATATGACACATAATTTTTAGCGAAATAATTTAGTGATTTATAAGAAATATCATCATCATCATCATCATCACAGCCCTTCACAAGTCCACTGCTGAACATAGGCCTCCCCCAAGTAATGCCACAAAGCACGGTCCTGAGCCACCTGCATCCATCGACTTCCTGCATATCTTACCAGGTCGTCACTCCATCTAGTGGGGGGTCGCCCTACACTACGCCTACCGGTACGAGGCTGCCACTCGAGAACCTTTCTTCCCCATCGGTTATCGGTTCTTCGAGCTATATGGCCGGCCCATTGCCACTTCAGCTTACTAATCCGTTGGGCTATGTCGGTCAATCTGGTTTTACTGCGGATATCCTCATTTCTGAGTCTATCACGCAGAGAAACTCCGAGCATAGCCCTCTCCATAGCTCGCTGAGCGACCTTGAGCGTCCTCATACGGCCAGCAGTGAAGGACCACGTCTCTGATCCGTAAGTCATCACTGGCAACACGCACTGGTTGTACACTTTAGTTTTCAGAGATTGAGGTATACCTGACGAGAAGATATGTCGTAATTTCCCGAACGCTGCCCAGCCGAGTTGAATCCGTCGATTGACCTCTCGGTCGAAGTTGGACTTACCTAGTCGGAATATTTGTCCCAGGTAAACGTACTCATCAACAACTTCGAGCATAGTGCTCCCAACAACTACCGGCATAGGTGTGACATGGACATTAAACATAATCTTTGTTTTGTCCATGTTCATCTTAAGACCTATCCGTTGGGAGGCACTATTGAGGTCATTGAGCATAGTGCTTAAGTCCTCCAGCGATTCTGCCATAAGGATTACTGGATTACTTCGTCGGCAAATCGAAGGTGAGTGATGTACTCGCCATTGATGTTAATACCGTATCTTTTCCAGTCCAGTAGCTTGAAAACGTCTTCCAAAGCAGCGGTGAAGAGTTTTGGGGATATAACGTCACCCTGTCTTACACCTCTCTGCAGTTGGATAGGTTTCGAGCTCTGGTTCTGTACTCGGATAGCCATCGTAGCCCTACTGTACAAACACTTCAACACTTCGATATACCGACAGTCAACTTGGCACCGCTGAAGGGACTGCAGCACCGCCCAAATTTCGACGGAATCAAAGGCTTTCTCATAGTCCACATACGCCAGGCAAAGTGGCAAATTGTACTCTTCAGTCTTCTGTACAATCTGCCGCAGGGTATGTATGTGGTCTATGGTACTGAAGCCTTTTCGGAAACCGGCTTGTTCGGGAGGCTGGAAGTCGTCGAGTCTGCGTGCGAGACGATTCGTAATGACTCTCGAAAACAGCACGTAGACGCGGCTCAGAAGGGAAATCGGTCTGTAGTTCTTCAAGAGAGCGTTGTCGCCTTTCTTAAAGAACAAGACCACCGCACTTCTGCTCCACGCCTCTGGAGTAGTGCCACCATGGAGGACGGAATTGAAGAGCTTCTGAAGGACTTCAAGTACCGGTGTTCCACCCGCTTTCAGAAGCTCCGCTGTAATTCCATCCTCGCCTGGGGCCCTGCCGTTTTTAAGGTGCTGGAGAGCCATTCTAATCTCGCTTAGACTGACGTCCGGGATATCATCGGAATAATGTCGGATAAGACTTGCTCTTGGATCGTTACTCACACTTGCGTGTGGCTCCAACGATGATGTGTACAGCTGCCCATAGAATCTCTCAATCTCACTCAAAATCTCAGGTGTCCCGGAAACGATGCTGCCACACTCAGTCTTCAGCCTTGACAGTTGGCTCTTTCTGGCAGACAGATCTCTGGCAAAGACTTTGGAGCCCTGGTTCCGCTCGATCGCTTCTTTAATACGAGCAGTATTAAAGTTGCGTAAGTCTCGCCGCATGCATTTGGAGATCTGTCTGTTCAGTTGCCTGTATGCTGTCAAATCTGTTGACGATTGCAGCCTCATCTCCCGTCTAACAGCCATGAGATTAAGAGTGTGATCGGAGAGTTTTTGTGTTCTTCTGCGGCGGGTCTTGCAGAACTTAGCTCCGACCGCATGGACAGTTTCCACGAGCTTGTCATTCATATCGTCCACTGCATTGCAATCTTGTAGGCACTGAAAGCGGTTGTGTAACTCGAGCTGAAAGTTTTCGGGATTTTGGATCAGAGCACGAGGGGGACGGAGCGTTGACTTCATTAGACGAGACCTCTCCAACTTAACGTTTAGGTTCAGTGTGCCTCTAACCATTCGGTGATCGCTGCCAGTTTTCACCCTTGCGATCACTGAGACATCACTGAACAGTTGGCGTCTGGTCGTCATAATGAAGTCAATCTCATTTTTTTGTCTACCGTCTCCGTGTAGTGGCGGTCAAGAATATCCACTACCCCATATCTTCCCGTGGGTGTCGTAAGAGGCGACAGAGGGAGACAGGCAGGAGATGGGCAGCAGCATCTTCCTGATAACAGCAACTATACGACAAAAAAAAAACTGCGGTTGCCAACCCGCTCGCCAAGCGTGGCAACTATGGCAATATACCCCCCCATAAGAAATATATTTGTCTGGAAATCTTAGATAAAATCAAGTTTTTTTTAATGGTTATTCAGATTGCAGCATTGGTTAGACAGGTATACTACTATCTGATGGCTGTTGATGATACTTGCCAGAAACCCAGTCATCTTTACTTCTCTTAGGCTGGTATTAGATAAGGTGCAATTTGAGTTTAATTTCAAACTTAACAATGTAAAACTTTGTAACATAGAATGGTCTAGACTCAAGTTTTGACATCTCGTCCAACCCAGTAAAATTTCAAGAAATATAAATAAATAAATAAATCATTACATACACAATACTACAGCTTGGATATTGTTTGTCTTACATTTTATTTAAGGATTCAAATAATAGGAACTTGGTAAATATATTATGTAATAGATAGCATGTCCTTTACACAGAAGTACCAAAATCAAAGAGAAGAAATAGAATTACTACTATAATTTATATAGTATCAATTAATACTATAATTTATAGACTTCTATGAATAGAATATTGTGTTGCTAAGAAACATAAAAAACTATTTTTGTTATTTTGTCTTTGAGAGCTATAAGTGGCATAATTAGTTTAACACTAATAACTGGCAACACTGGCAACCATGTTGTTTCTGTTACACAACTTGGGTAACAGAAACAACATGGTGACTTTTACTTTTTTTAAATTAACATATTGGCTAGAACAATTACATAGTATACTATTTAAGTGGGCTATAAAAATGCTATCTATTAACATTACTTGTTATTAAATTTTTAACTGATATTAAAACTAACAATTTCATACTGGTAGAAATGTATCAATGATGAATGATTCTTTCGTTTAAGCTGGTACACTTGAAAATATTGATGATTGATGATTCATTTTTCTGTTTTTGAATTTTCCAATACAAACATTCACAAACAATTGACAGAACCTTTTCAACTAGTGATTGGTGTGAATTGTGAATGAGTTGAATACCGACTGAATCATTACAGCCCTTCACAAGTCCACTGCTGAAATTAGGCCTCCCCCGAGTAATCCACAAAGCACGATCCTGAGCCACCTGCATCCATCGACTTCCTGCATGTGTTACCAGGTCGTCACTCCATCTAGTGGGGGTCACCCTACACTACGTCTACCGGTATGAGGCTGTCACTCGAGAACCTTTCTTCCCCATCGGTTATCGGTTCTTTGAGCTATATGGCCGGTCCATTGCCACTTCAGCTTACTAATCCGTTGGGCTATGTCGGTCACTCTAGTTTCACTGCGGATATCTTCATTTCTGAGTCTATCACGCAGAGAAACTCCGAGCATAGCCCTCTCCATAGCTCGCTGAGCGACCTTGAGCATCCTCATACGGCCAGCAGTGAAGGACCACGTCTCAGATCCGTAAGTCATCACTGGCAACACGCACTGGTTGTACACTTTAGTTTTTAGAGATTGAGGTATACCTGACGAGAAGATATGTCATAATTTCCCGAACGCTGCCCAGCCGAGTTGAATCCGTTGATTGACCTCTTGGTCAAAGTTGGACTTACCTAGTCGGACTATTTGTCCCAGGTACGACGAAGTTGTTGACGAGTATGTGCATAGTGCTCCCAACAACTACCGGCATAGGTGTGACATGGACATTAAACATGATCTTTGTTTTGTCCATGTTCATCTTAAGACCTATCCGTTGGGAGACACCATTGAGGTCATTGAGCACAGTGCTAAGGTCCTTCAGCGATTCCGCCGTAAGGACTATATCGTCGGCAAATCGAAGGTGAGTGATGTACTCGCCATTAATGTTAATACCGTATCCTTTCCAGTCCAGTAGCTTGAAAACGTCTTCCAATGCAGCGGTGAAGAGTTTTGGGGAAATAACGTCACCCTGTATTACACCTCTCTGCAGTTGGATAGGTTTCGAACTCTGGTTCTGTACCCTAGCCATCGTAGCCCTATTGTACAAACACTTCAGCACTTCGGTATACCGACAGTCAACTTGGCACCGCTGAAGGGACTGTAGCACCGCCCAAATTTCGACGGAATCAAAGGCTTTCTCATAGTCCACATATGCCAGGCAAAGTGACAGATTGTACTCTTCGGTCTTATGTACAATCTGCCGAAGGTTTATATGTGGTCTATGGTACTGAAGCCTTTTCGGAAACCGGCTTGTTCGGGAGGCTGGAAGTCGTCGAGTCTGCGTGCGAGACGATTCGTAATGACTCTCGAAAACAGCACGTAGACGCGGCTCAGAAGGGAAATCGGTCCTTCAATTCCTCAAGAGAGCGTTATAGCCTTTCTTAAAGAACAAGACCACCGCACTTCTGCTCCACGCCTCTGGAGT